ATTTTTTCTATTTTTAGTAGAGACGGGGTTTCACCATGGTCTCGATCTCCTGACCTTGTGATCCGCCCGCCTCGGCCTTCCAAAGTGCTGGGATTGCAGGCGTGAGCCACTGCGCCCGGCCTTGAGTGAAACTCTTAAGTGATCTACTTAAAGGAACAAAGTTTTCTGGAGGCAGAATTTAATGCAACTAATGCTTCCTTTTTCCTGACTGAAACTACTAATCATGTATAGCACACTGCCTCCTAATTTTTTATCCTTATTAAATCTGGGATTTATAAAATGACATCACTTTTCTGGAACTTTTTTCCTGACAGATTAAAAATCACATGTTTGGCCGTGCGTGGTGGCTCACACCTGTAATCCCAGGACTTTGGGAGGCCGAGGCAGGTGGATCACCTGAGGTCAGGAGTTTGAGACCAGCCTGGCCAACGTGGTGAAACCCTGTCTCTTCTAAAAATACAAAAATTAGCCGGGCATGGTGTGCGCTTGTAATTCCAGCTGCTTGGGAGGCTGAGGCAGGAGACTCGCTTGAACCTGGGAGGTGGAGGCCATGCCACTGCAGTCTAGCCTGGGCAACAGAGTGAGACTACATCTCAGAAAAAAAAAAATCACATTTTTGGTTTTCATCTGTCTGACTTACCTTGTGTAGGTTTGTTGGTCGCTTATTTAAGATATGTTTGTTCAGCTAAAGTTTTTCATTGTGTTTGAAGGAAATAATAAGATAATTGATTTTCTTTCTCTTTTTCGTTCGTTTGTTCGTTCTTGCTTGCTTGCTTTTCTTGCTTTGCTTTCTTTCTCTTTCTTTCTCTGCAAAGTCTGGCCTTATCACCCAGGCTGGAGTGCAGTGATGCAATCTTGGCTCACTGCACTCTCTGCTTCCCCAGTTCAAGTGATTCTCCAGCCTCAGCCTCCCAAGTAGCTAGGACTATAGGCGTGTGCCGTCGCACCTGACTAATTTTTCTATTTTTATTAGAGATGGGGTTTCACCATGTTGGCCAGGCTGGTTTCAAACTCCTGACCTCAAATGATCCTCATTCGTCGGCCTCCCAAAGTGCTGGAATTGCAGGCGTGAGCTGCTGCACCCAACGGAGAATTGGTTTTCTACTTAGATTTGATAGGCCTGCTATTTCTAATAAGAAATGGATTTTCAAAAATAAATTACTTTTTCCTTCCCCGGATTTGACAAAACATTTATTGGGGACTATTCCTGTATCAATCTTCTTAGAAATTTTTAGATGCTTGGAATAAAATATAAGGATGTTAGTGCTCCTGCTTTCTGTTGCTTGCCTCAATGCTGCATCCAGATCACCTGGGCTACACATTACAAACAGATTCTCTGGCCCGAGGTAAAGAATCAGAAATGGGTAAGACCTTTCCAAAATAGTGGTTAATAAGAGTTAAGATTTTGGGCTGGGTGGTGTGGCTCAGGCATGTAATCCCAGCACTTTGGAAGGCTGAGGTGGGCAAATCATGAGCTCAGGAGTTTGAGACCAGCCTGGCCAAAATGATGAAACCCTGTCTCTGCTAAAAGTACAAAAATTAGCTGGGCGTGGTGGCATGCACCTGTAGTCCCAGGTACTCAGGAGGCTGAGGCAGGAGAGTTGCTTGAACCTGGGAGGTGGAAGGTTGCAGCAAGGCGAGATGGTGCTACTGCACTCCAGCCTGAGCGACAGAGACTCCACTTTGGAAAAAAAAAAAAGAGTTAAGATTTTTTTTGAGACAGTCTTGCTCTATCACCCACGCTGGAGTGCAGTGGCACAATATCGACTCATGGCAACCTCCGCCTCCCAGGTTCAAGCAATTCTCCTGCCTCAGCTTCCCAAGTAGCTGGGATTACAGGCATGTGCCACCATACCCAGCTAATTTTTGTATTTTTAATAGAGACAGGATTTTGCCGTGTTGGCCAGGCTGATCTCGAACTCCTGACCTCAAGTGATCCACCTGCCTTGGTCCCCCAAAGTGCTGGGATTACAGGCATGAGCCACTGCACCTGGCCCAAAGAGATTTCTTGAAAACCTCTCGGGCAGGTTTGAAAAGTTGGAATTTCCTGGATGTTTTATTGATAGTAAATTGAACATTCTCATGGTAGCGGGGATTGTGTACAAATAATTTGAACCTGATTGATTGTTTTTCCATATTTTATTTTTATTTTAAGCATTATTTTAGTTTTTCTCTACTACTTGACTGCACTTTTTGGAAAATTTGAGTAAGTCAATAACATAGGATTAAGTTTGATTAAATCTTTTATTGAAAGAAATAAGTCTTAGAACTCTTAGACTCTAGGCAACTATTTGGATATTACGGGTGTGGGTTGCTTCCAGATTTGAGCCTGACAGGTCTAGGTCAGTGCAGTATATGTGAATTAAAGCCTGCTCTCACTGTAACTCTTCAAGTTGACATAATTGTTCTTATGAGCAGCTATCTTTTTGGTGAGGGTTTTTGGCTTCTGATTATAGAATGATTAGCGATTAGCAGCTTTAAAAAGAATTTCTCGTATCTTGCTTTATTTGAAGTATTTCAGGCCAGGCTCCATGGTTCACGCCTGTAATCCTAACACTTTGGGAGGCTCAGGCAGGCATAATATTTGAGGTCAGGAGTTAAAGACCAGCCTGGCCAACATGCTGAAACCCCATCTCTACTCAAAATACAAAAGTTAGCCAGGCATGGTGGTGTACACCTGTAATCCCAGCTACTCAGGAGGCTGAGGCACTTGGACCTGGGATGCGGAGGTTGCAGTGAGCCAAGATTGCGCCACTGCACTCCAGCTTGGATAAGAGTAAGACACGGTCTCAAAAAAAAAAAAAAAAAAAAAAATTTGAGCCTGACAATTCTAGGTCAGAACATTTTTATTTATTTATTTATTTTGTTGTTGTTGTTGTTGTTGTTGTTGAGACAGAGTCTCGCTTTGTCGCCCAGACTGGAGTGCAGTGGCCGGATCTCAGCTCACTGCAAGCTCCACCTCCCGGGTTCACGCCATTCTCCTGCCTCAGCCTCCCGAGTAGCTGGGACTACAGACGCCCGCCACCTCGCCCGGCTAGGTTTTTGTATTTTTTAGTAGAGACGGGGTTTCACCGTGTTAGCCAGGATGGCCTCGATCTCCTGACGTCTTGGCCTCCCAAAGTGCTGGGATTACAGGCTTGAGCCACCACACCGGGCCCATTTTTATTTTTAAAAACAGGAATTCCAGTACATAGCCAAATAATGCCTGATTTTTTTCCCCCTAATATGTTTGGAAAGTGAACATTCCATACAACTTGATAATTTTAGCCTTTTTCGTAAAATTTACTTTGATGTTGCCATTGTTTAGCCATTTTTTTTGTTTGGCACTCTGATGTTTTTTCTGTGATCACTGAGGCATTTGTCAGGCTGTTTGCCACAGCCTTAAAAGGTATCCATTCTTTTGCTTCCTTTTTATTTGTTCAACCTTGGAAATTTATAGTTTTTCCAGTAAATATTGCCTTTGTATAAATTAATTTTAAAACTTTTAAATTTTCTCTCAAAGTTTGTTTCAAGTTATTTTGACTATTTTTAGTAAACTGGTGGTACAGAAGTTAATCTGGTGACTAAACTGTGTCAAAGGTGATAATGAAACCATGAAGTCTGTCAGATTTCCTTCCTAAGTCATAAACTAGCTACTAAAATAACTATGTTACAAGGAGTTTACAGTCCTGTCTCCTATCCTTGGGGTGGAAATTGGTTCCGGGACCCAGCCATGGATATCAAACTCGGGATGCTTTAGTAAGTCCCTTAATATAAAGTGGTGTAGTAACCTACATACATCCTCCCTTATACTTCAGATTATCTCTAGATTACTTATAACGCCTAATACAATGTAAGTGCTATGTAAATAATTGTTATACTGTATTTTTATTTGTATTTTTATTGCTGTATTGTCATTTTTTTCCCCCAAGTATTTTTGGTCTGTGGTTGGTTGAATTCACAAATGTAGAACCCAACTGTATTCATTTGGGAGAATGGAGAGCCAGCTGTATTCATTTGGCCTTCTTAAGTTCTCATATGCTGTTTAAAGAAAATCATGTCTGTATATATATCCAAGTGTAAGCCTGTATGGTAAAGTCTTAAACTTTCCTGGATTAATTTAAACTTTGAAGGATTATCAAAAAGTTAGTAAGTAGCGTTCATGATCATTTAGATGAAAATTTTTAAGCCCAGCCTGGCTTTACTTTGCAAGTTTCATGCTGATCTCTTTCCCTTGCCATTGGAGTATATGCTTTAAGAAATGAAATATAATTTGTGGTTATTTAGGCTATGTGCAGTGGCTTACACCTGTAATCCTAACACTTGTGGGAGGCTAAGGTGGACTGATCACTTGAGTCCAGGAGTTTGAGACCAGCCTGGGCAACATGGCAAAAGCCCCATCTCTACAAAAAAAAAAAAAACCATGCAAAAAGCCAGGGGTGGTGGTGCGCACCTGTAATCCCAGCTATTTGGGAGACTGAGGTGGGAGGATCACTTCAGCCTGGGAGGTGGGGGTTGCAGTGAGCGGAGATAGTGCCACTGCACTCTAGCCCGGGTAACAGAGCTAGACCCTGTATCATTTAAAAAAAAAAAAAAGGTTATTTAAAAGAAAGTGTTAGCCAAAGTCAGTTTTACTTTTATTTGTTCTTTTGCATTTTTGATGCTATTACTACCTCTTTTAGATAGTCCAAAATGGACTATTTTAACAACAGTATCTTTAAAATTTAAGTTACTTGCTTGGCTATGCGGTTTGTATGATTACAGTTCAACTTAGGAAATGTTCTCCAATAATGAGTTGCTCTTAATTTAATCAAATTGCTAAGGCCTAATAGTACTATAAACCAACTTGGTGGTGAGTTTGCATGTTTATTTTATTCAGATTATTATCTAGTAAGTGAACACTTTAATTCATATAGAAATGATTACTGGACTTTGTTTACAGAAAGCCACCAAAAAAACTGATAAACCCAGACAAGATGATAAAGATGATCTAGATGTAACAGAGCTCACTAATGAAGATCTTTTGGATCAGCTTGTGAAATACGGAGTGAATCCTGGTCCTATTGTAGGTAAGTTGATAAAATTTCAAATACAGTATCTTTTCTCTGAAGCAGGACCCCAAATTATTTTCTCCTTTTGCTTAGCAGTTAGTTTAGGTTCTAAGGACTGGTTTGTCATTAATCATTTGTATCAGCAAAACCTTTGTTTCTTTGACTCCAAATGAGTGAAATAAAATGAGAGGATTGAATTAGATAATCTCCAAAATTACCTCTATTGTTGAGATTGTTTTATACAGTGCTTATATCGTTCTTCTTTTTGTTTTGTTTTTTGGTTTTTTGAGACGTAGTCTTGCTCTGTCACCCAGGCTGTGGAGTTCAGTGGCGCGATCTCGGCTCCCTGTAAGCTCTGCCTCCCGGGTTCATGCCATTCTCCTGCCTCAGCCTGCCGAGGAGCTGGGACTACAGGCACCCACTGCCACGCCTGGCTAATTTTTTGTATTTTTCAGTAGAGACAGGGTTTCACTGTGTTAGCTAGGACGGTCTCCATCTCCTGACCTCGTGATCTGCCCGCCTCGGCCTCCCAAAGTGCTGGGATTACAGGCGTGAGCTACCGTGCCCGGCCACTTACATCGTACTTCTGCAGAGACATGGGTCTTATATGACAATTGAGGAAAATCTGAGGTAACATAGCTGGGCAGAATTGCCCAAATAAATGAGTTAGTGGCCGGGTACAGTAGCTCACGCCTGTAATCCCAATACTTTGGGAGGCCAAGGTGGGAGGATTGCTTGTGCCCAGGCGTTTAAGACCAGCATGAGCATCGTAGGGAGATCCCATCTCTGCAGAAAATTTTAAAATTAGCAGGGTGTGGTGTCACAAGTCTGTTGTCCCAGCGACTTAGGAGGCTGAGGCAGGAGGATTGCTTGAGGTGGTAGGGGGTTCAAGGTTGCAGTGAGCCATGATGGCTACTGTACTTTGGCCAGAGGCAGTGGGGGAAGACCCTGTCTCAAAAAAATAGATAAATAAAGGAAAAAAGAAAAAGTGAGTTAGTGACAGACTTCTTAATGAGGTTATTAAATTCCTAGCATAGTACTTTTTTTTTTTTTTTGAGACAGAGTTTCGCTCTTGTCGCCCAGGCTAGAGTGCAATGGCATGATCTTGGCTCACTGCAACCTCTGCCTCCCAGGTTCAAGCAGTTCTCTAGCCTCAGCTTCCCGAATAGCTGTGATAACAGGTACCCGCCACCACGCCTGGCTAATTTTTATATTTTTAGTAGAGATGGGGTTTCGCCGTGTTGGCCAGGCTGGTCTCAAACTCCTGACCTCAGGTGATCCGCCCACCTCAGGCTCCCAAAGTGTTGGGATTACAGGCGTGAGCCACTGCGCCCAGCCCCTTTTTCATGTATCATTAAAAGTACCCTTTTGAAAATCCTGTCTTGATTGGAATTGAATAATTATACCCTTAAAAAACAAAAACCTAGAACTAAATACACTGGATTTCCATCGTTGGATTACTTTTAGGTGATGAAGATTTTGCAGTGTTGATTATGCCTTAGGTTTGGAGGGTCTTAGCAATAACCGCAGGATGAGAAAATTCCATTTTGATGGGTTTTTTTTTGAGAAAAGGTATTGCTCTGTTGCCCACACTAGAGTGTAGTGACGCAGTCGTGGCTTACTGCAGCCTCAACCTCCTGGGCTCAAGCAGTCCCACCTCAGCCTCTCAAGTAGCTGGGAACACAGGCACGTGCCACCATTCCTGGCTAAATTTTGTATTTTTTGTAGGGATGGGGTCACACTATGTTGCCTAGGCTAGTCTTGAACTCCTGGGCTCAAGCAGTCCTGCCACCTAGGCCTCCCTAAGTCCTAGGATTACAGGCATGAGCCATTGCATCTGGTCTTGATCTTCTAAGTTACATAAAATTGTGGACACTAGAGATTTGGTAGGTTTTGCTATAGGTATAGTTGCAAATAAGGATTTGGAATATTTTGTTTTAATGTATAAGCTGCTTCCAAATAATCATAAGCTTATTCATATACAATTACCAACAGATATATAACACTTTTCAAAAATTTTTTGTTTACAGTTCTAAAAGGCCTGGGCATGGTAGTTCATGCCTATAATCCCAACATTTTGGGAGGCCAGGGTGGTGGAATTGCTTGAGCTCAGGAGTTGAAGAGCAGCCAGGGCAACATAGTGAACCTTGTCTCTATTTTTTAAAAAAATTAGCCAGGCATGGTGGTGCACATTTGTAGTCCCAGCTACTCAGGAGGCAAAGGTGGGAGGATTGCTTGAGCCTACAAGTTGAAGGTTGCAGTGAGCTATGATCGCACCACTGCACTGCAGCCTGGGCAACAGAGCAAGACCTTGTCTTGAAAAAAAAAAAAAAAGAAATTCCAAAAGGGAGACACTGAAAAATGTGTGTTATAATGTCAGCCTACATTAAATCATATGTTGATATATGACGTGTTCATCTTACAGCTATTTCTATAACACTTCTGGACACATGTTGCTTCTAAAAAATATCCATTGTCATTTTGCTCATCTTACAGAAGTTAAGGAAAGATATACAGTTAGTGTAAGACAAAATCTATTTTGGCTTTAAACTGTCACTGATGTTCAAATGTGTGAAGAATTTGTAATCAGTTTTGCTTTGTGATATGTGTTTTCCATAAAAGGTCATTTTAACTGCAAAGATGTTATATTTAAATCTGATTTATAGAACTTTTCTTTTCCCCATAACTGAATACAGGCATATTAATGCCTTAGAGTTATGGAAGTTTAATCATAGTTATTTTTCATAGAGGTACAATCCGCTTATATGTGATTTTTCTATGTTGGCAAGTACTATTATGTGGTAGTAGAGAAAATACACAAGTGCAAGACTTCAGTCAAAAATAGTCATACATGGCTTTTCAGTAGATGGTCTACAGTAAGGCCTATATTAATTTACTATGTATTTCATGCTATTAAAAGAAATGTCGTTTCCAAAAAAACCACCTACTATAAAAACAGTGCATTATATAGTTCTGTGGAATGCAGTGGTGCGATACCAGCTCACTGCAGCCTTTACCTCCTGGGTTCAAGCAATTCTCCTGCCTCAGCCTCCTGAGTGGCTGAGATTACAGGCGCCCACCACCAGGACCAGCTAATTTTTTGTATTTTTGGTGGAGATGGGGTTTCACCATGTTAGGCTGTCTTGTCTTGAACTGCTGACCTCAGGTGATCCACCCACCTTGGCCTCTGGAAGTGCTGGGATTACAGGCATCAGCCACTACGTCTGTCCTTTTGTTTGTTTGTTTGTTTGAGATGGTGTCTCACTTCGTCGCTGGACAGTGGTGTGATCTTGGCTCACTGCAACCTCTGCCTCCCAATTTCAAGTGATTCTCCTGTCTCAGCCTCCCAAATAGCTGGGATCACAGGCATGTGCCACCACTCCCGGCTAATTTTTGCATTTTTAGTGGAGATGCAGTTTCACTCTGTTGGCCAGGCTGGTCTCGAACTCCTGGCCTCAAGTGATGCACCCGCCTCGGCCTCCCAAAGTGGTGGGTTTACAGTCGTGAGCCACTATGTCCGGCCGCATTATATAGTATTTTTAAGAACTTGAGTTTAAAAAAAGAAAGAGTGAAAATAGCTTAAAATGTTGCTGAATATAGTGTCTGAGCTGCACCCTAAATGAAGCAATACAAGTACTAAAGCAAGTTCTGCCTTAATCCAGGAACAACCAGGAAGCTGTATGAGAAAAAGCTTTTGAAACTGAGGGAACAAGGAACAGAATCAAGATCTTCTACTCCTCTGCCAACAATTTCTTCTTCAGCAGAAAATACAAGGCAGAATGGAAGTAATGATTCTGACAGATATAGTGACAATGAAGAAGGTAAAATTTTAAATGATGTTAATCAAATGTACGTAATTTTTTCACACTCAAAATACAGTGACCATGAAGAAAGTAAAATTTAAAACAATATTGACAAGATATACAAATTTTATTCATGTCATTAGAGTAATTCTGTAATTTGATTTAAATATTTTTTATTGAAAATTATAAGAAACAACATAGTACAAATTTATAATTTTCTGTCACCTGAAATTGCAAGTTAACTTTGTCTTTTTTGCTTCAAACCCATTTTTCTGAGAGAATAAAGTATTACAAGTAAAGGCAAAGTTCCTTGTACTTATCTGTACCTGTCACCTCCACAGAAGTAACTACTAATTCAATGCCCATCTTTCAAGTTTGTTTTTATATTTCACATACACATCTGTCTAGTACATGGTATTATTTTATACTTTAAGAATACAAAATTTATATAAACAATATGCTAAATCTTATCACTTGCTTTTTCTTACTCCTTTATTTTTGAAATCTAATCTGATTAGTTACATATCTGTTTATTCCTCATAATACATAGTAGCATTTAAATATGGCATATTTTCTCTATTCTCTGTTGATAGGGATTTAAATTGTTTACAGTTTTTGTTGATCTGACCTGACGGCAACTTTAAAGCAAATATTTTGACTACATTTTTAGTAGACTAGATAGTATCTTAAAATTTGATCATGATGTTGAAATATTTTTTGGGGATAGGACGTGAAATAAATGTCCTTTAAAAATTGTAAGTACAACTTGATTTTTGTAAACTTTTAATTCATATGACTTGTGGTTATTTATTTTGATCCAGATTGTTTATATCTCAATAAGCTGTGTCTACCAGGGCAAATCTGGCAGATTAGTTCAGAATATTAAATTATAGAGTCTTTTCCTTTGACAGCACTATTTTTAGCAAAGAGGCAAAGAATAAAATCAGCTCAAACACAGGTAATGCTTAAACTTCCTGCCTCTTTTGCCTCTACAGGAAAGAAGAAAGAACACAAGAAAGTGAAGTCCACTAGGGATTTTGTTCCTTTTTCTGAACTTGGAACTACTGCCTCTGGTGGTGGATTTTTTCAGGGTATTTCTTTTCCTGAAATCTCCACCCGTCCTCCTTTGGGCAGTACTGAACTACAGGCAGCTAAGAAAGTACATACTTCTAAGGGAGACCTACCTAGGGAGCCTCTTGTTGCCACAAACTTGCCTGGCAGGGGACAATTGCAGAAGTTAGCCTCTGAAAGGAATTTGTTTATTTCATGCAAGTCTAGCCATAATAGGTGCTTAGAGAAAAGTTCTTCGTCATCTTCTCAGCCTGAACACAGTGCCATGTTGGTCTCTGCTGCAGCTTCTCCTTCACTGATTAAAGAAACCACCACTGCTTGCTATAAAGACATAGTAGAAAATATTTGCGGTAGAGAAAAAAGTGGAATTCAACCGTTATGTCCTGAGAGGTCCCATATTTCAGATCAGTCGCCTCTCTCCAGTAAAAGGAAAGCACTAGAAGAGTCTGAGAGCTCAAAACTAATTTCTCCGCCACTTGCCCAGGCAATCAGAGATTATGTCAATTCTCTGTTGGTCCAGGGTGGGACAGGTAGTTTGCCTGGAACTTCTAACTCTACACCCCCACTGGATGTAGAAAACATACAGAAGAGAATTGATCAATCTAAGTTTCAAGAAACTGAATTACTGTCTCCTCCACGAAAAGTCCCTAGACTGAGTGAGAAGTCAGTGGAGGAAAGGGATTCAGGTTCCGTTGTGGCATTTCAGAACATACCTGGATCTGAACTTTTGCCGTCTTCTTTTGCCAAAACTGTTGTCTCTCATTCACTCACTACCTTAGGTCTGGAAGTGTCTAAGCAGTCACAGCATGATAAAATAGATGCCTCAGAACTATCTTTTCCCTTCCATGAATCTATTTTAAAAGTAATTGAAGAAGAATGGCAGCAAGTTGACAGGCAGCTGCCTTCACTGGCATGCAGATATCCAATTTCTTCCAGGGAGGCAACACGGATATTATCAGTTCCAAAAGTAGATGATGAAATCCTAGGGTTTATTTCTGAAGCCACTCCACCAGCAGGTATTCAAGCAACCTCCACTGAGTCTTGCGATAAACAGTTGGACTTAGCACTCTGTAGAGCATATGAAGCCGCAGCATCAGCATTGCAGATTGCAACCCACACTGCCTTTGTTGCTAAGGCTATGCAGGCAGACATTAGTCAAGCTGCACAGATTCTTAGCTCAGATCCTAGTCGTACCCATCAAGCACTTGGGATTCTGAGCAAAACATATGATGCAGCCTCATATATTTGTGAAGCTGCATTTGATGAAGTGAAGATGGCTGCCCATACTATGGGAAATTCCACTGTAGGTCGTCGATACCTCTGGCTGAAAGATTGCAAAATTAATTTAGCTTCTAAGAATAAGCTGGCTTCCACTCCCTTTAAAGGTGGAACATTATTTGGAGGAGAGGTATGCAAAGTAATTAAAAAGCGTGGAAATAAACACTAGTAACATTAAGAACAAAAAGACACATATCTTATATTTCAAACTTTTATGCCAACATTTTCTTTTCTGTTAAGGTTGTTTTAGTTTCCAGATAGGGCTAATTACAAAGTGTGAAGCTTCTACCCATCAAATTATAGTATAAAAGTAATTGCCTGTGTAGAACTGCTTTTCTTTTTTAAAGATTTGCATAGGTAGGAAACCTGGTACAAACAATTTAAAGCTTTCTAGATCACATATTAGTCTCCAAATTGTTTTCTATTTCCTGCTTTACGTATGCTTTTACAATTCTCCAAAACTAAGAAAATTCTAATTAGGATATAAGGAGTCTTTACTGTTTAATAGAGTAATATGCATCCTCCTTTATACCTAGGACAGATTTAAACAGTTGTTACACATTCAGAACAGTGATTTTGTTCTTTTTGATATTTTTATCTCAGTATCTTTTCACATTCCATAACTTGTCCATATTTTTGCTCATATTTTGTTACTTTTGTTTTTTACTCATGTCTGCAACAGCAATCATAGTAGTCTAGATCAGTGCAACTCAAACTACCAGTCTACGAACTGTTACTTATCCACAGGCAAGATAAGCATGCACAATAATTTAAATCCAGAGATACTTTTTAAGTCAATGACAGGATTTATTTTTTAGCAAAATTGTATTAATAGCTAAAGCAATGTATTGATTTACACTCTGATGCAAGTAATGTATCTCTTCATTGACTGGTAGCAACCAATTCATGGATCAGTACCATGGACCACACTTTGAGAAACACTTCTTTGGATAATAATAGATATCCTGGGATAGTGCATGTTCACCATCTATTTTATCAGATAATGGGGCTTTTTAAAAAATACTACTTTGCTTTCATGATATATTGTGTTTTGTAGAAAGTTAAGTTTAACAATATAGACTCTAAAAGCAAATTTAATTTGTTTAAAGCCATAAGAAATTATACTATATCCCAGTATCTGTGTGTCTGTATAAAGCAGTGTATTATCATCTTTTCATTTCTATGATTGTAAGATAAGAGTCTAACTGCAGAGGTATTGTGGAAAATAGTAGCCTTAAGCATAATAAAATATGGTCTCTTGGGTACTCCCTCTGGCCATTACCACATTCTTAGATTATACATGTCCCTCTTTGCAACTTTCTGAGAGTAATTTTATTTGTTGTCTTCTGAAATGTACATGTATACATGTACCTATTGAGTGCTGTGTGATTTTTAAAAATGTATTACTGTAGAATGCTTCTGCAAATTCAATAAAAGTTGTTAAATTTGAACAGTGTTGTGTGGTCTCCAGAAACATGTTGTTATGTGTGCTTTATTCTTGGAGTTGCAACAAGTTAAACATTTGTATATGAACACCCTTTTTCCATTTCATCATTGAAACTCACTCTGACATTTCAGCGGTATGATTGAAAATACTCTGATTATTGTATGGTTTTTCTTCTGTTTGAGGACCATGTTTTTATTGACTGTTGGAATCTAAATTTATAAGAGGAATTGATCTGTAACCAGATACTTTATTTGTTTAATTGATTTCTACCCACTACTGATGGTTTTTTTTTACTTTGTGCTTTCTAGTTCTTAAATTCTGAGTTAACAAAGCCTAAAGTAAATTTTATATTGCTAGGGGTTGTATCAAACGTAGATATATTGATAGGTCCATTGATAGAAGTGTTGGGAGATAGACTTGAAATCTTAGTCCTAAATATTGAACTGTTTAAACCAACATGATAAAAATCACTGTTTTTTGGGGGCGGGGGGAACCTGCAACTGTTAAATAGATTCTGGACTAACTAATATTAACAGTGGAAAGTTAGCAAGACACATATAGATGTCTTGACCACTTTTTTGCACAGGTTCATCATGGAGTTCATGTAAAACTTTAGAATTGACTTCCTTTCTGTCTCTTTGATAAAGTAATCTAACTTAATTTTTTTTTTTTTTTTT